TATGTTTCTTAAACACATTTTACTTAAACTTTTATTATTGGGGGCTATCACCCCCAACTCCCATTTTAATAATATAAAATCAACCCGTCTATTTTTTCAAACAAATTCTACTTGATATGTAAATGATAGCAGTATTTTAAAAGAAAAAAAAAAGCAACTCACATATTCGTTGAAATTATAGAATTTTAATAGTATTAAAAATACTATGATAGTAAAATTAGTGTAACGTCTCTGCACTCATTACGTAGAACATCCTTATAACACGAAAAACTTCAACAATTCATCAACATATCACCAAACCTGCTTATATCTGAAAAAATACACACACTATACTTTTTATGAACTGAAGTTCCCTCTCGCCACAAATCGTAAATAAAATCAGCATTCATACCTTCCATCTCAGTAGACACACAAACCTATTAGAAGAAGACGAACCTATTAGAAGAAGGGGAAAATTCACGCTAACAAATTCTTTAAAAACTTGTAAAATACGCGCACGTTTTCTTGAGCCCCGGAATACCTATCCCTATTCTTTGGCCAACATTCGTTTAATTAAGAATAAATTATAGCAACGAGCATTGTAGGCAAAATATGATAATCAAGCGTTCACCTCCGTGTAATAGAAACTATTTTGAATCGAACTAAAATTTTGATTTAAAATTCCTTTCGTCAAAATAACCCCCCCCCCCCCCTCATCACGCAAGTAGCGAAGAGAGAGCTCAAGGAAACGTGCGCACGTGATACGTAATATCTCATTAGATTTTATAATAAATAATTTAATTGTTTTAGTAACAACTAAATGTGTTAATAGAAGACTGTGATATAGACAAACCCATGTCTATATTTATATTTCAGGTGAAGCAGCAAGCAAAACCACATTTCTACTTTTTTTAAGAGTTGTGAAAAGTAATTTTACACGAGAATTGATATTTTAAATGTATCGTGAAGAAGAAGAAATGATTCGTAATAGCAAAATGTATAGCTTTAAATGGGTTTTGACCGTAGTCAAATTGTTTATATTTATGCTTTGGCGTAAGAAAATTAATCAGTGTCTGCAAAATTATTCTCGAGCGTTCAACCAGAGATTCAAGTGAACCGCGCCCATAGAGGAGAGATACAATATCTCTACTCTATGACCGCGCCACAATAATCTTGGGAAACACGAGAAATAATGAATCATAAAAGGGACCAAAGGAACCGTGCCACCCTAAGCCCAGGATCAACGAACATTTCATAAAGATATTTCACAAGACAGTCATTATGCACAGTAGAATATTATAAAATCGTCTCCACTCAACATAAAATCGTTCTCCTGCAAATGATATTTTTGATATGTCATTTCTCTTAAACATCGACGAAATGTATATTACATATTATTACTCGCGCAACTTTTCTTGAACGATGGATTGAAAAAATGCGGGTAGAGTGGGGTATTAGTTACGGAATCGGCCACTAGATTTTATGAAGAAATGCCAATCTCTGGAGAATCAGTCACACCTTCGTAACTTTCTCAATAACTTGCGTTTTAACTTTATCAGGAATGCGAGGTATCTCCTGTGATAGATCTTTACCTTCTTCGGTCATTTCTTTAGATTTTTGAAGAAAATAACCGATAGAAGTTCTCGTCTTCAAAAGAAAATTGTTTCTATTTCGCGCCAGTGAAGATGTGTTTGGAATGTCATCTGTTCTCGCTGCGAGCGTTTGCCTTCATTTGTTTATTGTGCCAAAGAGAGGGAAGCAAGGTCATCGTTCAAGAAAAGTTGCGCGAGTAATACCAGGTGTTTGTTTAGGAACACATGAGCAATCTATTGCTGCGAGAACTCTGAGAAAATCTATAAATTTCATAAAAGTAATCTTAGGCGATTTCTATATTTTAAACTTCACGAACTCTCTACACTTGAAGCAGCACATAGCTCACTTCAATGAAGTCTAATTACGATAAAAATGATCCCATTGCAAAATAACGCAGAGTGAGAAGTCGGTTCATCGGTGATACCTCAGAATTGCTAACAAAATACGAAGTATTCATTTTATTATTTTGACATAAAATTAGTTTAACAGGACCATTACCGTGGCATTACAGAAATATAAGTTGGTATTCACAAATCATTTGTTTTTATTTTGTGTTCTATCACAGTCATAACTTTGTTAACTGTTGGCTTCCTTAACCTCAAACGGGATTTGCAATCTTGTTCGTCAAGGACCTCAAAATATTCTAGCCGACATGCCGTCTGGTCGGACGCTCTAGCTCGACATGCCGTCTGGTCGGACGCTCAAAACCATCAAAGAATTCGACGTCTATCATCTCTATTACGTTGTCCGTCACGGAAATAACACATATATTCCTTGAAAATCACAGCAAGTTCACACACAAATTCTGTTATTTTGGATTTATCTACTAGATAAACATTTAACAGCCTCTCGAACCTTCAGATTATTTACCGGACACTTTAACCACTGGATAGATTTAACAGGCACTCGTAAAACACAAATTTTCAACACATCAGTAAGATAACTTCTGGATAGACTATCAGACACTTCATCAGGCGCCGGTGAAACAGGCCCTCAATGTACTACAACTAAGCCAATAACTATTTCATGTAGAACACTTAGTGCAATCATACCTTTTTACGACTATCAAACATCCACCAGCAAATATCGTTTTCCAAACATTTCATATATGAATAAGTATACTTCTCTGTTGTAAATCTATTACACTCACGCCTAGATGCAATCAAAATTCATTACCGAGTTACTTTTATAAATATAGTGAGGCAAAATTCTTAAATATAAAAATTTCGCAATTGACGGTTACATCAACATAGTCTTCAGCTATTCTACATGTAATTCAGTGAATTAATGAACTCAATCGTAGACCTCAGTCATGGCATCTGGTGGCGCGCAGTCAAACTATTGCATATTGATGCACTCTTGAATCTATGATACAATGCTAGGTGAAAAAGTCCAGAAAAGTAATTATTTTGTAGAAAAGTAATTATATTAAGATTTATGGTTGTAAATCATAGTCTATAACAGTCCTGACCTTCAAAGGAGGCTGGCACGTAAGTTTCATTGCTATTCGTCCAGTACATTCAGAGCTGTAACGCAACGCCCTTGTGCGTCTCTTATATATTTGAATAGATTCGTTATATTAAATATAAATTAGTGGTGCTACTGAATGACACAGACTTGCTCGTATTAGTTGTCTATTTCCTTTAGAAACGCTCAAACGCCATTATCTCAAAATCGGCTCCATATTTTGTCTTCAAACTTTTCGAACGGATAGTGCCAATTACAGTTTTTAATATGACAGTTTTTTTAGTCATTAATATGAAAGTTTCTTTAGCTTTTTTTAATTACACAAATGTAATCGCTTTGAAAGATCTTTCAAGCCGTTAATATGCAAGTTTCCAGCAATTTGTAAACACTATTTTACGAATGAGTTAATGTGCTTCAAATGAGTTCAAATGAAGTTTTTCGAAAAACTCAAAAATTTTCTATGAAACAGATTCAAATTTCGAATTTTTAGTAGCGCCATTTTCTTAAAAAGTCTCCAAATTTTTGAAAGAAAATTGCCATTTATGACGACGTTTTACTGATCTTTAATTACGGAACGGCCAAGGGCGCTCGTATGCTGTTTCGCATAAGATACTGTGGTAATCTACGAATCGCGTTACTTAACGTGCGTCAACGCAACGCTCGTGTCACACAGGCCTAAATAAACAGTTATTCGATTTTCATTCATTATGCATGAAATAATGCATATTTTAGTAGTCACTCAAAACACTGACACTTTGACTTTCCTCCAACCGAAACAACTAATCTTCAAAGCAGTTCAACTTTCGGGCAATAGGAGTCAGTAGTCGTAAGAGGCAGGACTTGGATTCTTCTGCCTCGAACAATATTTAGTACAGTGGCGGCCGATACGTAATTCTATTGGCGATGTCAGTGATGCGACATCGATAACAAAACATCGATGTTCAAAATTAAAACATTGATCAAAAACCATCTAGGTTATTAAACTTTGATGAGATGTTTTAAAACTGGTTTAGTAAACTCAGATATACAATTCGTGGCAACAAAATTTAATTTTACAGTGATCGTGTTTAATGAATTTATAATGAAGACTAAAACGAAAACATACTAAAAATAGTAAGAACAAATAAAAATACTTAGCCTGAAAGTCAGACCTCCCACAGTAATCTCACTAGATCACAGCTTCCTGAGTTCGCTGAAGAAGGATACGGGAAGAAGAGTGTGGTGTCAGTGGCCTTGCGCCCACAGCTAACTCTCCACGTGCAAAACACAAGGAAAGACGTTCGAAATACCAGGACATCAGGGTCATCCTGAGCAAGAGATAGCCTGCTTGATAAAGATGTCATTAGTGCACTCTATCGAATAGAATGGGAACTACTGTGTTAATTCGATTTTTTCACCGTTTCATACATGAGGCGCATACAAACCAACACAGCGTTCTTCATACAGCATCTTCATACTTCATTCTTCATGGGCAGAGGCGGTGCCAATCAGAAGGTGGCTCAGAGGTTTAGGAGGAGGAAAACAGATAGCACTATGGCCTGTGAGTGTGAAAAGTATCGAATAACTAAGACCTAATTTAAATGAATTCCTATAAATAATAATATTTTGAAGAAACGATATTTTATATACGTATTTGTGGTGAAACATTTATTTTCTTCCCTTTTTGTTGGTGGTGCAATGACACACTGGCACTACCCTACAAACCGCCACTGATTTAGTAACTGATGTCTCAATGAGCACCTAACGTATTTTTTTTCCAAAAATGTCACAAAATGCCTCGTTTTCCCTTGTATATCATTGTAAATGACAAACGTAATAAGACACACGCACCTCGGCAACCACATAATACAGCCAAAACAGATATTCTGAAGGAATTGCTTACGGGCACAGCAGATTTTGCCACCCAACACTTTCCCGCCAAAAGTTGTGACGTCATTCTGGACATTCTACTGCTTCAAGGAGCAATCGCGTAACTCTTGTTTGTCGGTGTAATTTTGTTGGCTACCCTTAACGACGGCCCTGCGACGGCCTGCCTGAGGTGTCCCCCCCACCTAGTCCCAACCACAACCAAGAAAATGGCTGCGGTTGTGTCCTTACGAAATGTTCTTCTAGCTCCAAGTATTTTTTTCCTAATATATTATTGTGTGAACATAATTAATGTTTTCATAATTAGTCCTAACATGGATATTTCATTTTTGTAGGGTCACAGCCTGGTGTCATAGCATGCATTGGTTTTCAGCACTCCTCGTACAGTAGTGATTCTCGAATAATTAATCCTCCCAATTTGGCTTCTTTGAAGAGGGGAACAGGTGGTAGATCAAGCTTCAATGGCATAGTTTGTACAGTTTTTGGCGCTAGTGGCTTTTTGGGCCGTTACGTGTGCAACCGATTGGGGAAAATTGGTACTCAGGTAATGTACCTGGTTGCTGCAGGATTTGTGTTTTTCAACTAATGCCCTTTGATGTATAAAGTGAATGCAATTCCAATTATATTTTGTATGATTTCAGATAATAATTCCATATCGAGGAGATCATTATGATGTTATGCGATTGAAGCTAGTGGGTGATCTTGGGCAAGTTTTGTACCGACCTTTTCACTTATGTGATGAAGAATCTATTCGTAAAGCAGTGAAGTATTCTAATGTAGTTATTAACCTGATTGGTCGGGACTGGGAAACGAAAAACTTCAAATTTGATGATGTTCATGTAAACGGAGCTAGGCTTATTGCTCGTATTTGCCGTGAAGAGGGGGTGAAGAAGTTAATTCATGTGTCTGCCCTTAATGCAGCTGAACGTCCTAAGGTAATAGATTATGTAGTATTAGTATTATATTTTCTTGTGTCTGTTATAAATATGATTTTGGAATTCTGTTTTGATGACAGCCATGTATATTGCCTAAAGGCTCTGGGTTTCTGGCTAGTAAGTGGCGTGGAGAACAAGCTGTCAGGGAAGAGTTTCCTGATGCAGTTATTTTCCGACCAGGAACTATGTATGGGCAAGAAGATCGTTTCTTGAGGTAAGTATCTCACTAATTTGGGAACTTTATCATTGGTGTATGTTCCTATATCACCCCCTTGAGGAAAGAAGGAAAACATGTGTTTAAAATGTGTGCAATCTCTTTCTTAGATGCTATGTTCATCTTTGGCGCCGCCAGTTAACTTTTATGCCTCTTTGGAAGAAGGGTGAATGCACAGTTAAGCAACCAGTGTATGTTAGTGATGTTGCACAGGGTATTGTGGCAGCTGTCAGAGATCCAGACACTGCTGGAAAAGTTTATCAAGCTGTTGGGTCAGTATGACAAAAAAAATTGTGTTAAAAATTATTTAATGGGACAAATACTTAATTAAATAATAGTAATGTTAAAGTGAGAAGCTACTGAAATCTTGGGATAATGTATGCGACTATGAATAAATTCAATATATGGTGGTAATAAAAGTTAAAACAAGATGAAATTGAATGTGAAATATTTGTTATATCATTAACTTACTTCTTTAAAAATAATTTTGATGTGCAATTTGAACAATGAAAATGTGAAGAATAAATAAAAATAAGATTAAAGTTTAGTATACAGTTCTCCCTTTGAGAGGTATGGCGGTGGGGCTTAAGCCCTAATTACTGTAAGTGCTCTAATAGAAATGAATAAAACTTTCAAATAGGAGATTTTCATGGTTCGCCCTTTATATGCTTTGTCCCCGCCGCATTGTAACACCAATTTACTTTCTAAGGCAAGTTTTCTCGCTTCGCTCACCTGGATCCAAATCACGGCAAGGCTCGGGCCTTCGGCCCTTACGTTCACTATAAACATCCTTGAGTCTATCCAACGCATAATTACCTATTCACTTTTATAAGAAAGCACTTTTCAAGAAAGCCTCCAGAATTCTAACTGCCTAGTTGACGCCAGAACGCAGTGCGAAGTGCCGATTTAAGCGCCTTCCTTAGGTTGTACCGTATACTACATTTCAGCCAAAAATAATTATGTGAAATTCAGTGCTAAATTAATACATAATACGTAATATTCTGCCTTAAATTATTTTGATTTCATTCTTGAAATCGTTATCAAGATCGTTAGAACATTATTACAACCATGTTTTGAGGATTTGTGAAGGATCCTTAGAAAAATTCCAATTCGTGACTTTCTTTAACTTATAACCATTTATAGTAATTACTTATTACACATATTTCACGTTTGAAATACATTGTAAATATTTGTTAAATAATAATTTTAAATATCTTGAAATCTTGTTCTGAAATATTAATTCTTTTTAACCCATATGCTACTTTTCTCTACTGGTTTTCAGGCCCAAACGTTATCTCCTGTCTGAACTTGTAGATTGGATGTACAGAATCATTCGTCGAGATGGAAAATGGGATTATCTCAGATATGACATGCGATATGATCCTATCTTTCAGGCACGAGTAACATTGACTGAAATGATTTGCCCTGGTTGGCCTGTGGGCTACCTTCACTGGGAAGGAATAGAGAAAGTATGTTTAGATTTTGTTGTTCACTTCAAATTTTTGGTTCAAGGTAAAAAACTTGAATGTTTATGTCGATGTTACAGGATCATGTGACAGATGATGTGAAAGCCGGAGTTCCAACTTTGGAAGATTTAGGTGTTACCCTCACAGACACGGAGAGACAAGTTCTGTGGGAACTGAGACCGTTTAAGGCTAATGCTTATTATGATGAAGAATTGGGAGAGTTTGAGAAACCTACTCCACCTCGAGTGGCTGTATAATTGTTTTCTGCTATTAAATATTTATAGATACTATGTAATATGTTGTATAATTGTGAAATAATACTGCTAGCCTAAACAATTTTAGACTTTTTTTTTTTTTTTAATGATTTGTAATTGATTTGTGCATGTGCCATTGAATGGTCCCCTTACAATATCTGAAAAATTCCAAGAAATTTGTACTCGTTTTGAAATGTTCATGTTTTTACCAATGTTGGGATTTAAGGGCTGTCCTTAAATTACATAATGCAAATTAGGAGTATTATATAGTATTCTGTTTTAGTATTTATATTACATAGTATTCTGAAAACCCCCTCTCCTCTCTATAATGTGCACTTGAATCATCCTCCAATAATTATGTAACATTTGCAACAATTCAGTTGTTCTTTAGAAGTGTAAAATTGATATTATGAACATGAAACATGCCGTTACATACTTCATTTACAGCATTTAACAATTAATAATATGTTATTACTATACTGTCTTAATATATGCTGGGTCCTTTACAAAGGCAATTGAACAAACAAGTGCTCGTGGCGATGGTGTAACGGTTAGCGTACCGGACTGTTGTACCCAAGTTGGGGGGTTGAAACCCGATCGAAGCTGTGGATTTTTAAGGGTGAAAAAATCCTTCGGAGGGGAAGTAAAGTTTAGTAGATTTACTTGCATGTTAAAGATCAAGCTGAGATGACGCCTCTGCGCTAAATTGAAATCGTCTGTTTCTTGCCCAAGGAATATCTTCTTTATCTGCTAGCTGGTGAAAGGAGCGTAGCGAAATTTGCATGGTCAGACTGAAGAGCAGGCCTCATGGCCTGAGTCTCCCCTCGTAAAATAAGGCATTAATTCAATTCAATTCAAGTGCATATTCAGAAAGTGCAGAAATTCATTTGCAATTGTCAATCTTCAATCCACTTAACAAATCGTGGATCGCGGAGGTTTGCAGAATTCTCTATCAAAGATGTCTAAGCATGATTTTCTGGTCCTCACCTCTGTGTTAAATTATGTAAATAAACACACGTTTGAATTTCAGTCTTACTAGTAATGTTATTAGCAATAGAATTCATTTAATATGTGCATTTCCTAATTTTGTCTCTCAGAGCAGTGTTCTCAAGCACTCAGACTGTCGGAAAAAGTACAATGGAACATTTTTCATAGTTACTTGAAATGTGGCACTTCAGTAGTGAATTTCTTCCAGGTATTCGTGTATTGATCCTTCATTGTTTTGGCAGAAACAGAAATTACCTTAACTGTTTGTTGAGTAGTGGAAGTAAAAAGTGTCTTTGTTGTACATTTCACAACACTCAAATTCTGATGTTCACTTTTCAAACTGGTCCTTCAAGCCTGAAAAAATGAATAAATCCAGATGCTAAATTTAGGGGAGAAATTCTCTACCATGTGGTAACTTCATACCGAAAAATCGAAAGATGGCAAAAAGTGTCTGAACAATATTAGCAGCTAAACTGTTCATCCGATTTTCTCCAAAATTGGTATTCCCCAATTGATCTGGCTGATGTCATGGTCCCTTGAATTTGAAACAGATTCTTTAATTTTGGTGGATATTTTACATGATGCCCCTGGGTCATTTTCAACAAAATGGCATTGTTTTTTATTAAATTTCATTGTTGAATAATGTGAAGGACGTTAAAGAGAATAGTATACATCTCATTTACGTTGAAAACTGATTTCTCGGAAATTCAAAATTTTTTCAGTCTTCCTACTGCAATGATAAGAGAGAGATTTTTTCCATTAATGAAATCTGTTACTTAAAGAGAAATTTTGAAGTAAGTTCATGTAAAATTTGAGTATTTTTGGTGTTATTTTGCATGGAAATAAGGGCAAGAAAATACATACTGTTTTAGCACCAATAGTTTTTGAAATGTATTGTAGAAGAGTTTAAATTTAAATACTGTTTTTCATTGTTTATGTTCTCTCATTGTTATTTGGAGTTATGTAAAACACTCAAATAAATAATAATATAATATGATGAAAAAATATTTATTAAAAATAGTAATGTCAAAAATTCTGGATGTTGTTAAAAACACACACGAGTCATTGTGACAAAAAAGGCACGAGAGCTTGAAGTTTAACTAAAGAACAGAAGGGGAAAACAAACTTGTACAACATTCCATAAGACCACACATTGTCTGTTCAGAAGAAAAGTGACACTTATAAAACAATTTCATAATTAAGAAAATGGCGTTTAAGCGTTATCATAAATTTGAATTTTGAAGTTATTTTTTACAGAAAATTTTTGAGTGTTTAAAAAACTACTTTTGGAGCACTTTTACTCAAATGTTAAAGGTTTTTTTTCGTAACACTGTCCGTTAATATATCTACATAGCGCAACCCTATAGAGGAATGAAAAGGTAATCTTAATGACCGCCGGTCGTTAATTTCTTTATTTTCGTGCAATTTTAAGTAGCACTGTGTTGCTCATAGTTTCTACATAAATAGACAATGGCATAAGTTTGTCTTATCTTGAAATGAGACAATGGGGACAAAATGGGACAATGGAACAAAATGGTTCAGTGGGGCAAAACAGGACAGAGGGACAAAATGTTTCTAGTATGTTCTTACGATAAAATCTTGGTCTTGTAAATATCGTGTATGAAGCAAGAATTGTATAGATTTGAGATGGAAAGGGGCGTAGCACTCCTACATATTAAAGCAAAGGCATCTCATTTAGATTAGTTTTTTTTTTTTCTTATAAGAAGATGGTATTACAAAAAGTATTGAATGACACACAGCCGACATCATAAATAACAGACTTGGTTGGTTATAAGCCTCCGCTGTCACCTCTGTTTACAAACTTCAACCGCGTCTGTTATTTGGTGTTTATCAACTTAATGATGTTAATAGCTATTACAAATCGCTGAAATGTGAATATTAATGTCATGAGAGTTAGATAAAAAAATTACATTCATATAATTTTGGAAAAAACAAAAAATTCCCCAAAACGAACTTTATGGCATATTAAACAGTCCAATTATCACTAATTTTGGGCAATTTTTGTGAAAATTGGATTTTTGCTTTCTGAAAATGGTATACTCTGAACTAAAACTGAAACTAAACTCTGTGTTGAGCTCATTTTAACATAAAACTGTTGTTTTCGAGAAATTTTTTATAACATTAGTTAAAGCACTTACTTGTAAATACGACAATGTGAACAAATCACCTCTAATTACATATTAACCACGTGACAGCCTGGTCAACAAAATAACATTTTTGTAATGTTTGAAAAAATAAAAGAATAGAGCAATATGGTGTTTATGTAATCTTCTAATAATAATAAAATCGTACATGATATCAATTAACTACATAAAATTTAACAGTATTAGTACATTCTATGTTTACATCTTGAAATGGTGAGGTGGAGGCAGGTTTTGACCAGTTTTTTTTTCTATTTGTACCCTAGTCCTCCTGCAGCACCTAATGCATCTAGCAAATCCAGGGTGAAGGAAACAGAAATTTTGGTCAGGCATTCTCCTTCTGCATCGCAAGACACGATATGCCAGGTCTTTTTTCTTTGCTTCAGCTCAAAACAATCAACATGAAAAAGAAAGTCAAATGGGACAAGAAGTTTTATTTATTTTTATTTTTTTAAGGTGATTTGAATATTCCTTCACACTGTAGAACATGTTAAGCAGGAAAGCTTTCAATTTACTTTTAAATGTAAATGAAATGGGTTTATGTCTTTAATATCATCGCCTACTTTGTTGTGAAGTGTAATGCCTTCTATTAGGGTACTTTTTTGATAAAGTGTAGTTTCAGGGTGGGGAATATGTTGGTTATCCTTTTGACAACCGCTGTAGTTGTGTATACGGGAATTTAGAGTAAAGGTGTGTTTGTTTTCCACGAGAATCTTCGGTGCGAAGACCACTATTTTGAATATATACATGCATGATAGAGGAACAATCCTTAGTTTATTGAACAAGGGTTTGCAAGACTCCAACTTATGAGTGCTGGTCATTATTTGCAGAATTCTTTTTTTAGATAATGAAGCATTATATGCATGCACACATTTATTATATAGGTCAGATTCTGGCCTAGAGTTGGGATCAACTATCAACCTATTTTCACTTTAAAAATTGATTTTAAAAAGCGCAGAATGTTCACACAGGTTCAGCCAGTAATATTTAACAACAATTACACAATTATGAGTAAGTATGCACAGTTGTTAGCTAATTTCAATACTCCTTCAAAAACTTTTTTTAATTTTATTTATTAAGGATGTAAAACACTTTGCCTAACTGTTTGGTGGACTCTCCCAACAGTCTTTAGTTTACCTCATTCTTTGTGCCAGGCACAGTCAGGCTCTTTTAACGACTGAAATAGTCCATCAAAAATGACATCCCAGAAAATGATTTATAGCTATAAAAAATTTTAAAAAATTATCTTCATAAAAATTATTTGTTCATTTTTAAGAATATTTTAATTGCAACAATTTGTTGCCCTCGGCAATTGCTCTTATTGGCCATAAATACATTTTCCCATCAGAAACTAAAAACAAAATATTAAAATTAATATTGTAAAACTCTGTTGAAAAGAACAGAAAAGAGACGTACAAGTGACGTCTTAATTCTTTTCAGATATTGAATTAAAATAGGAATTCAAAGTATTGAAAATATTTTCTTCCCACATGTCAACGGATCATAGGTCATGTTATACATGAGAAAAAATGCTGTTCAAATCATTTTAAACTTTTGAATGGTACTTACAATTCTGTGAATAAAAACAGAATATAAAATGCTATATTTCTAGAAGGCTATTATGTAGAGACTTTTTTCTTTTTTGGATGGTTGACTGGAGTTACGGCCAATTGGTGAAAAATTATCTCTATCTTTATTGGCACAATTCTGAAAATGCACGAAACAAATTAGTAATTTCTTTGAATAAATTGGTAACATTTGTGAGTTAAAACAGATATATATTTATCTTATAGAGGATTAAAAGATAACTACTTGGGATATACTAGAATACAAAATTTGTTCAAATTCCATTAAAAATATAAACATTTTCATAAAAGCATCTGCTCCAGTCTTAATGGACTACAATTTGGATTTTACTTCTTTCTCATTTAATGTTATTAAAAAGCCCTAATGAAATGTATAATAGTATATAGTCTATTCTATTTTACTTGAACTCTTGATATGAAAAAAAGATTTGAATTCTCAAGAGTGTGCATTGTTAAAAGAAATTCATAAAACAAACTTACTATATCCTTTATTGTTCTATGGTTAGTATATCCAAAAATAATTAATATACAGTGGAATGAAGTTTAACAATTACCATATTTTGAGTTTTGTCCTCTAGTGCAAAAATTGGCTTTTTACATTGAATACACTTGAAATACAAAAATCAATTCCAAATAAAACTCCATTTCTGCACAAAATTACAAGGGCAAATATTTTAGCTGCCTGACATTTAATGAAGTTTGTGTTTTTTCTTCGGATTAGTTTGTTTATTTTTATGTGATTAACAAATTTCTCAATTAATTTTTTTGGATGAAACTTGTCAATACTAATGACTGCTTGAATTTCAATAATCTTGCATTTGCAACAAATCCTAATTAAATAAGACATTTTAAGACTAATGAAACTGTTTGTTTGAATTAAAAATTATAATATTATTCAAATAATTCATGTTGAAATTCATTAGAGTTCACTATATTCATTAATACAAGACAACTTACAAAATTTTCAAAAAATTCATTACATGAAAAAGGTATATTGACCATTTTTAGTCATATCTCAATAGCAGATTTGGTAATTGGAAGTTTACGGTGGCATGGTTGTTTTCATATGAAAATGTTTGTTCACCACAAATGAATTTCAGCAACATAAACAGA